ATATATATATATATATGTCATCAATGCTTACAGTCCACCCAAGCCAAGCAACATATGCATCAAGAAAATAATATAAAGGCCGCAAATTTACAGAATGATTGGTGTGTGAGATTCGCTTGTGGGTTCAATCCGCGACCGATCGAGCGGCATAAAATTCGCCTTGGCTAAACAGCTGCTAGCTACCTGAGTCCGTAACCGTAAGCAAGTCACCTCTCAAATACGAAACGATTAAGCAACAAGACAGGGCTTTAAAGTGTTTGATTATATCACTGTTGATGAAGGTTATAGAGCTGAATGTGAACATTCGTTGAGAACTTTTTTGCTCTGTGACATCCGCTCGTCTTCCTAGAAATTACGCCAATCTACTTGTCCGGTTCCCCTCATCCTAGAGCGAGTACCCAGCCAGCAGATTGACGTTAGAAGTACGAGGACCTTCCAGTCGATTGCCTGTTCGAGACATCCTACTGGACGCGAGTCTTTCCTCCGTAGGATCAGTCCAGGTTGGGCAGGTCTGTTTTCAATGATTTATAAAACACGTTTCTGCGTATTTGTCCACGACTGACAGAGAGTTTGAAGACAGAGTTCTCTTGTGAACCGCAGACGCCACTGTACTTATGGCTGATTGCAGAAATGTGCACAACTTCCAGCAGTTTGCTTTCTTGTGATTTGTCGTGTATTCCCGACCAGCGGAATATAAGTTTTCTTACATTCTTTGAGTTCTTCCTACTTGCTTGTGGACTTGGGTGTTATGTGGAATTTACATGCGTTCCTTTCGTAGAAACCACTGTAGGATGAGGTCGCTTTGGACAGCTGATCACGTTCGGTTGGTCCCTTCACGTGATCTTTCTAATACCGTTGAGCACGAGGCTGAAAACTGGATCATTCCCTCTGCACAACGTCCCAAATACAATAAAGCAGTCTCATTGGTTGTGCTGGAAGCCCAAAAGTGTAAATTGACTGTTCGTGTTAGACAGCACGAGGTAGTGCAAATTGTGGGCAATGCTCCTGGAAACATCCAAAACGGCACTTGCTCGAAGTTGTACGTGTTTCTTCGGATTTTCGTCATCGTATCGTAGCTAGTGAATCCGACCAATCAGAACTAAAAAATACGTAGTATGTCATGGGTACGCGGACTTCTCCTTTAAAGAGAGAACCTGCAACAAGGAAAAAAACGGGCACCCACTCCTTGATATCGGTTGGAATTCCTTAATGGTAAGGCACACCATTGTCCTGTGATCTACTCATGCTTACGCCTGTCGTGACTCCACTGCATCCTCAAAACCGAATCATTTCAACCCGATTTTTCATCATCCAATTCGTAGGTCACACATTCGCACGAATGGGCTTACGTACGCACCAGTGTCTAGTGCACGCCCCAGTGGTAAACGTCGGGTGCGCCCTCTCTTCTGATTTGGAAGTTTGTGACAGACAAGTCAGTAGCTCAGTCGTCCGGTCCACCTGACAGGAAAGAACACTGGCACAGACGTGTCAAGCGATTCGGTGAGGGGACGGTGAATCCGATCCTCTCAAGAGTGTTGGTTGAACAAGCAGAGGAGAGCATCATCCGGCGGAATACTGACTGGGCGGTGAGCTCACAGCGTCAAGCAATAATAACACGAATAAATGGCAAAGCCTATCCAAGTTCGCCAACCGGACGATCGACACCTATCATTGGCTTCATGCTCACTCAGGATACGACTACGAACTACGAGCTTGCCATATGACACTGACAGGAAGGAGTTACCCTTAAAACTGCAAGTGTTTGTAACTGGCACGAGTCAGGCAACCTTGCTGACCGTAGTTGCAAGGGAAGGGGTACTGGATGGACCATGGTATAATTCGGTAGTAAACTTGGAAGCACTATATTAATCCCTTCCATCACCATTATCATCATCTCAGACAGCATGGCGTCACTGTTCAGCACTGATGCTTCGCTGTCGTACTCTGGCATCACGAAGAGACCAGACCCTACCGCTGTTTCGGTGTGTCTGCCTTGGTGACCTATCGAGTTATACCGGGGGATGTGCACGCGACACCGACAGAGTGGTTAGCTGTCTGACTAACACAGTCTCCTGGTCCTCCAGATTGGTACATATGTGGCGACGTGTTCCGTAAAAGTGGTAATGTACTTTTATTTCCAGCCAAACATCGCTGCCCTGCGGTCAGGCTTTTGAGCCAAAGTCTTTCGTGAGGGCTCTAATCGTCCTCCTGTGTTGGACCCCTCACGGTATCCCAGCCCACGTAGAACCATTAATTTCCTCCAGAAATCTTCAAATACTTTCCGCTAATTCCGAACAGTAATTACCAGTCGTTGGTAAAAATAATCATTCAACCGGAAACCACGATTCGACCAAATATTGATTTATATCACTGGATTACACGAAGTTCATTCAAAAGTGATTTGCTGAGCAAAGCATGTGGATAATTTGTGTTCTCTCGGTGTGGAAGCTTGTGTAACGCTGTCAGATGCAAATCGTGGTCCGAAAGTAAAACATGAGGCCTCGGATGACCAACTGAATTCATCCTCACTCAATATTGTGATACGGATTTATATTTTCACACCTAATTATCAGATTGTAATCATTCTCCAAAACACCATGGGATAAGAAAGTGAAGCAGCAAATCTAGAGGGAGAGAACACATACGACAACAAACTTTTGAACACAACTTAAATAAATGGATGGAGTTCTCATTCTGGGAGCATAGAAAGTTACTGGTGAAACAATTGGGACGTCGGGGTTCGGCAGTTTGATGGAAGAGGGCCCTCACTCAGACATGACATGCTTCATAGTCTGAAACAGAAATAGAAATACAATAGAACGTCCTCAGTGTCTTAGTCAGCAGACGCCTTGACTCATGTGGTAACGTTGTCCACAACAGATTAACCGATGTTCTACTCAGCTCTACCGGAAATCCAATCAAGTTCTTGCATGCGTTGTTGTTGTTCCCTCATTCTCCTTATACTCAGTGAACAAAACTGCAGTAGCGACAACCAAAGTACATTGGCACACTGTTTCTACCTCAATAACTAACTGGATGACAGATAGAAAGCTATTAGTCTATCCACTCGGCATCAAGTTTCACATGAGAATAGGGCCGATGAGCGACCGAAATTAAGTGAGATGGTATCTGAAATTCCACAGTACAGTGTACTTAAGTCGGACGAGGAGCTTACCGAACTGGTTTCCAGGTAGATTTAGATTAGGACACGTAAGACTTTGAGTCGGGGAGTGGACGAGATGTGGGGTACCTGGTTCAAATTCCAATTTACCTCTGATCTCTCCTGATTTTGTGAGCGACGACCTGCGGCGGAACGTACATTAACTAGCAGTCATCTATCACCCTGGCTTCATGCAATGTTCATTTGTATCCTATGGGGTTAGTTTGACTGCGAAAGGCGAACATTGCCAACAAGGTTTACGTTACGCGAACATTCATAACCTAGAAATTTTTAATATATCCCACCATTTCCCTCTTGTCAACTGGAAACACGTTTGGCTGCTGTAGCTCAGCTCGAATAATTCATTCGGCACATCATTTTTTCTAACATACATGTTAATAAGCCCCCCAGGGCAGTACAGGCCAAAAGGGCAAACGCTCAAGAGATCTAGCCTACCCAGGCAACAACATGCGCTGCCCTCTACCATTTTCTTTAACTTTGTTTCCGCCTATGTGCCAAGAGAAGGGATAGGAAAGAAATAAGAGAAAACAAGAAGCTAAGAGAATTTTCACGTTTGAACCGGCGAACGTGTTCATGCCTTTGTGATGTGAGAGGCTCAAACGTCGATAAATCTCGCAAACACCCACAGCTAATTCAACATTGTCTAGCAGGCCTCAAGCGTCTGTGTCGCAACCTGACTGGGGGGTCCTGACGGGCAGACCAATGGATTGATACGACTAGGACAGTTACTGGGTCGCCGTTCGAGTTGTCAGGTTAACCAATCACATCACTCAAGCGTAGCATGTTCATCAGTTCGAGCCTTAACACTAGGATGGGTGCAGTGTTGGGTGTTCAGAAGTTAGGTGGGTTTAGCCACTTATGTTTGTCTGTGAGCGTTCATCGCCAAATCAGCCCTCCACCGACTGAGGCCCGCCAGTCTTTAACACTAGATGGGTGCAGTGTTGGGTGTTCAGAAGTTAGGTGGGTTTAGCCACTTATGTTTGTCTGTGAGCGTTCATCGCCAAATCAGCACTCCACCGACTGAGGCCCACCAGTCTCCCCAGTGACACTTAAGTGCTTTCCCCCCCTCTCCCGATCTCTCAATTCACCTGTACCAGTGTACTGAGTGTTTGGGGCACATGGTGACTGTGCTCACGGTTTGCAGTTGTCCGTCACATAAATCCACCAATCCGACGGGAGATTGACGCCTTTCCTGATGCCCGTCCCTACAGTGACGCGTACAACAGGTGCGTACGTGGCACATCCGTGCCAGAGGGGAACGTACGAATTGGATGATGGAGAAATTGAGTGGAGCGCTCGGGATTTGAGGGTGTGGTGGGGGTCACGACGGCCTAAACCACTGATAAATTGCGAGGCAGGGCACACACGTGATCCACCCGTTCAGTTAGCGATTTACAAACATTTGATGCTGGTTGCAATTTTAAACGAGTCACACCATTCAACATCACCGGGATTTTTGATGTAAAATGCCATTGTGGGAGCCTTCATAGATTGGGGAGCAGTGAAATTTCAATCATGTGTCCTTGTACTCATATGGTGAAAACGAGGGTATCAGGATATGAGAACCTTCATTGTGAACATAATATCATATGATTGGAACCTTTGCATTCTGTATTGCAAACAGGATGTTGGTAATTTTCGCTTGTTCTCCTTTGAATTGCAATCTGCTAGTGGACCGGTTTGCAAATTTTGAGAGAAACTACTAACTACCTCGCCATTTACACGGTGATACGCGAAAAGGTGAACTATTTTTATTAAGGAAACCACTCACACGGTTGCTGAAAACTCTTCGACAGCCCACGACCGGTTTCGTCCTCCTTGGGGCTCATCAGGTAGGCGTAGTCCCCGAGTTTCCGTCAACCTTATGATCTGCTTGAACCCAAATTGCACTGTTTTCGAAAAATACACTCATTTGCAAATCAATCTGGTTTTCACGAGAGACTCAAATGAATCTCTCGTTTATGATATTTCTAGACTGGGGTCTACTACAGATGCTGCAACAGGCTTCATTAATTTCCTACCAATCCAGTAGGAAGGTAGCTTCTTTGGTCACCGATTTTAGGCGACGGCAACATTAACGGTAAACATGCGTTCGTTGTGCAGCCTTCTGGCCGACCCGCTGGGACTGTGGGATCTACAACTGAAGGAGATCAACGCTATTCACATAATGTAGGCATTGATACACATAACGGATTCCACAAAGCCGGCTTTCGCTGTTATTCGACCTCATCCAGACCAGAAGTTAGAATGGAAATCGATAGGAACATCTGCCGTTGGGACATTGAACTGCAGTTACATAAACAGCAGGTCTGTGGCAAACAGCAGATGAGTCCACAGGAATCACGTTTCAGTTCAGGCGCAGCATAAGTACAAACAAACAATGGAAAACTGCAGCGATTTGGAGGTCTGGAAGGGAAAGGTATAACAATCAACGTGGTGATCTCTGCGTGGCTACCGAAGTAAGAGATGAGTACATTAGGTGGACCTACGGAACAAACGAAGTGTTAAACAAAGACAGCGTAGGAGAT